ATGTGCAGAGAAAAATCTGTCTTCCACATTCAATTTAATTTGACTTTTTTTTTCTTATAAACAAATGGTCACGTAAAGAGAATCACATGGCAACAAATAAATAACTACAGTTCTGTTACTACGACTTACAGGACAACAGTGATATAATGCTATTCTCACTAGAAGCTTTAAGTGGAACTTAAACTCTGTTTTATTTATTTTTGTTTACACATATTAATTAACTGTAGAGTCATTTATAAAACCCCATATTATTAAAGGGACATTTGAGTCAAACCTAAAGTCTCTGGGAACAAGCAGTACAGACCAAGCAGCAACTCTTTCCTTGTATTCTGGGACTGAGGGCACACCTTTAATCGCACGCTCCTGTTTGAGCATCACTCATCAAACTTTTTTCAGTTTGTGACAAAAATGTAGTTTGTGCCTTTTTATGGCAAAAAAAGGGAACGGGCTGTGCCGAGAAGTACCTCAAGTAAGTGACGTCTCAGACTAAAATAAGCAAAAGTCTCAAAACTAAACAGTGTATCAGACATAAAAAGACATTTTCAGATGACCTGTGCATCTTATATTTGAAATAAATGGACCCCCAGCTCTCTGCATTTCACCATGTCGTCTCGGGATCGGCCTATTTTGTGAAATTACTTCAAATCTGATCAACAAACCTGACATTTTTAGTCTCTTTTACTAATTTTAAACTAAAGTGTTAGCTGCCTTGCATGAAGTCAAGTCTATTACCAGAGTTATAATTACTTTTAGATAAAACCACAAAGAAGGCGTTAACACACCTCATCAGCAGTTTCTAAGTAGTGTGAGTTCAGCACGAGCTCCTCTCTAGTACATGTTCTTGTTTTAACTGTTAGGCTTGTGGGTGGATATTTTAGACAGGAAAAAATATGACAAACCAGTAGTTTCGAGTTTTAGCTACTAGAGTAAAGTCAGACTGTGTTGCAGAACTGTTATTGGCAGCATATGTATTTAATGGCTCAGTCACAGTAGAGTAAAAACAGGATGGAACCTCCTTGCGCCTAGAAAAGGAAAATTGGTGGTTGCCCCATGAATGCATTGACTTATTTATTTTCTGTCGGAGACCAACCATAATTAGTTGCACCCGAGGCTGACCGCGCACCACCTCTGCACAGATCGCCTTGTGGGGGGCAATTGGTCTCTAATTTTCAAATGCAGCCAAAACTGCCACCACGGTGCAATCAATCTTAGTCGGTCTGCGGCGATGAGCACAACTCATCTGTGAGTTGCCACAGTGGGCTCGACTCAGCTGGTTGCAAACTGTTTGTATTCTGTTCATATCGCTGAGGTTCTCACTGGACTCTAAATGCCCAATGTGAAGTTTTATATGTAGCCAAGTCTCATTATCACCAACAGACTGCATGTAATAGTCCCTTTGACCCTATTCAATCGCAAAGTCATACCAGCCTGAAGCCATCTTAACAGCAGTAAGTTCCTGTGAAGATGGCAACGCACTCTGAGTGCTTGCATACCACTTTCAAACCACTGTTTAGTCTAGTGTGACTGTGACATATGTAGCTAATTAGTGTTTGAATCAGTGTGTGTGTGTGTGTGCGTGTGTGTGGTGTGACCAACAAAGAAACACATTCGGAATGCCTATCCTTTCCAACACAAGCACACAAGCTGCACTGGAGTAAGCCCTTTCTAGTTTTGCATCCCCTAAGATCTTCACAGATTAAAAAACAAGACAAGCCAAAATATAGTTTACAAAGGAAAATAGAGAATTCATCTTTTCTTTGACATGAAAATATTTCCGGAGTATACATCTGGTGTGAAACAGTCAGCATTCACGTCAGGCAGAACAGTCTCTGCTCAAAAGCCAGGAAATCACAAATAAAGTGCGAAGCAACCAGTGGACTAAACGTTGCACACACACATACACAAAAAAACAAAACAAAGAAAGAAACCAAGAAAAAAAAAAAAAAACCCCAACACACACAGTTGCTTTTTACCCAGTCCAGAACGTGACATGATAGGCAACAACAACAAAAACTATCATATCCGGTGTCTTGAAAAGCACTCCACTTCAGCATAGCGAGATCAAAGTCCTGCACATAACATGTTATAATAATCTGCTCGACGTGTCTATCATGTCATGCGGCTGACTGCGTAACACAGAAGCGTCAGAAGAGTCAAGTTCACATATGCAAACGATCAGCGCACGTGCCAATCTGCAACTTCCACGGGACGGATCCCGCATCAACAAAGCCAAGGAGAGGGCCGGAACGACCGCAAGGTCTTTCTATACAAGAAGGGACCGCTTTACACTCGTACGCAGAGAGATGCTACAGTAGTAGGAGAAAGCGTGGAACAAGCAACAGTCTGATTCCTTAAAAGGAGAAAAGGGGCAAATGAAAGAGTGCAGAGAGAAATGGAAGCCTGGTCGCCTTCTCTGACAGACCAAACGCACCAAACATCGTCGGGTTCATTTGGCAAAGGGTTAAAACTAGGACACTGCCACTTAAAATACATTCTTTTATCATTCATCAAGTAGCATTGTACAGAGATGGAGGTAACAGAGTCACTGAACAGGAGAAACCCTTACATGCATCCCTTTAGACTTTGTGGTAGTGTTACGTTACATAAATCAAACCTGCAGAGCTATAGAAGGCCTTCATTTAGAGGTTTTGACTGTCAGGTAAGTCATGCATTTTGTTTCAGCTATAGCATATGTACAAGGTCAGTGAATCAATGACTTCAGCAGGACGAAAGAAAGGAGATGGCAGGAAAGCTCAAATCACTGGCGTTATTGGCAGCACGACAGTGCACGTGACGCTTAATATCTTTTAGGTACACAAACCTTTGGAAATGTAATCCGTAGAGTGTGTTTTTTACACGTTTGTTTCGGAGGCTTGAAGGAAAAATCCAACGTTAGCTGCTTTACACGAAGCAGAATTAGTGTGTGTCGCATTTTTCTTCGTCCTGTGGGTAATGCAAAAGTTTGACACGGGTTCATTTAGGGTCAGGGGCAAAGGGTGTCTTTCTAGAGCAGCAATGTTGCACCATGTTCAACAGTCGCACAGGACGAAGAGGGAGATTCAGGTAATTAAATAAATCACAATTTACAGTTTTTGAGGCCAAAACTTCAAAAGTAAGCTGGATTTATGCTTCTCTGGTATCGAAATGAATTTGTATTCCACTTGTTGATTGTCATTAGCACCACCACGACACACTACAACATCCTACACGCGCACACTCCCAATAGTGTCAGTTTTCTAGCGTAGAGCCACGATGTTTAGTCTTTAAAAGAGATGCCGCCCAATTCCAGTTTTTAAGTGAGGTGATTTTTAATTCTGTCATAAACTACAAAGCCCTTAAAGTCTTAAAATATTATACGGCCTGCACAACATTTACCATGTTTGACATTTTAGGTTCCATTTTAATCTGCAATAATGTTTCTCTTTAAAATAAAATTGACATCTCCAAAGTCTACCATCTGTAATACAAGAGTCACACTGCTTGCTCGCCTGCAAAAAGAAGAATAAATCCAGCTTAACGTGCAAACTCTGTTAGCTAATAAAACACCAGAGGTGGATTTTTTCCTTCAAGCATCTTATTTGTCTCATTTTGCATAGGAATCACAGGCCCGTTGAAGGCAAACAAAAACCGTTGATGGAGGTTTACAGCAGACAAGAAAACACTTCAACTGAGACGAACCGTCCAGCTGTAGAGGTAAACCAAACGTGATTCCTTTTTCCTCTTTTTTTCAGCAAGGGGGATTTGGGAACTCTTCCCATCAGCGCTGTGAGTAAAAATATTAGCACATCTGTCCACAAACGTTACAATATAACAAACATGATCCCACAGACTGCACGTGACTCTCAGGGAAACTCTGACAAAAGATTTAGGCGGGCTGACTGACCCCTTAAAGTCTGTCTGCGTATTCAAACGATGTGACTCTGCTACACCGCCGATTTGTGTGGTGTTCATTTGGTTGCCAAAAAAATCAGATTGCACACAATACTTAGCATATAAATAGATTTATATAGCCATATTCTACTTTGTCTACTTTATCCCATCCTCTCATAAACTAGAAGCGTGGAGCTTATGAAAACCAAGTAGTTCAGTAAGAAATACCCACGCGTCGAGTCAGCTGTGTTTTTGTTAGAGCTTCCCTGTAAAGGAGCAAAAAGCCTCCCCACAATTGCGCTCCATCTCGAACACTTCAAACACGCCTTTGACTTTTTTTTTTTCTCGTTTTTGCCCCGCTTTAGAAAACATCCAACAATTTGGCTATAAAGTGTACCGCTACAAAATACAGTACATTGATTTGTCAAACCTTACACAACATAACCACAAACATCACTGACCAAAAGTTTCTCTCAAATACGAGAAAACGTTACAGTAAGTTACGAAAATACGCTGTCACGTTAGACACTTAAGTAGAACAGTAGAATACTCCCGTAAGGCAAAATCAGGTGATTTCACAGTGACGACTTTAAAAGATTTCAGTGATCTCTGGTTTAAAAACAGACACCTTCCTTCACTGAGAAGAGGGTCGGCCTGAACGTGTATATATGTATGTATTCTGGCTTTTCATCAGGAGAAAATAAATTTAGATGCTTCTGTTTTTCTTCCTGATGATTTTTCTCAGTTAAAGATCACGTGTGTGGCTTTAAGCCAACGCATTTCCGGAGCACGCAGCATTTTTTGGAGCGGTGCTAAAAAAAACTGTCGTATCTGGATTGGACTGTTGGGCTGCAGCATGGTTAACGGTCGCCACATCTTACATCAGAAAATGGCACACTGAACACCGAAGGGCAACTATGGGGAGGTTTTGCACTCCTCGATAAACCAAAAATAGCTTAATAAACACATTTATAAATATGTTAGTAATCAATAAATAGACACAAATTACATCAGTGCAATATTACACGATGCCTACAGAAAACATTTTGGCATCAAATTGAAATTATGAAATGGAATATAAAATCTTTAACCAAATAAATAAATAGAACATATAAATAGATGAAGCATAAAAACACACAAGTACACAATGAAAATAACATTTGGTTGTCAAAAATAAAGCTTTGAGTGTGAAATAGAAAGCCGTTATAGCATGATGGGAAAACCGTTCTATTTCATTGCACGGTATTAGCAAAGCGACCATGTTTTTTTCGGTTTCTTTTTTCTCGCTCTCTTTTTTCTTAAAAACACGGCCGCTTATATCGGGTGCAGTTTCGCCCAATGTCCTAGCAGCTTCCTGCTACAAGCAAATATCAACAAAATAAATAATAAAGTGGATATGAAAAGAAAAGAAAACCGCCAAATGTGCGTTTTTGGAATATATGTGGCATGTAATGGTACACTGTAAACACAGTAGGCTAGCAAAAGCGCTGAGCGACCAATCTCATTCAAAACGACAGCGAGGCATTCCCCCCGGCGAGCCGCTGGATGTCTTTTTTCCCCCCTGTTGTCTTTTGGTGCCGCATTGTTTCAAAGGGCAAAGTCGGACAGCTGGACGGCCATGCAACGAGGAAGAGGGATCATCCTGCCCTTTGGTTCTCTCCATTAACGAGTTTTCTTTTTCTTCACGTCACAGCCTGTCCATTCTAAACGTGTCCTCGGTGGCGGGGTCGGCAAGCACCATGTCGGGGTCGTTGAGCATGTGCAGTCCGTCCAGGGTGAGCGGGTCGATCTTCAGCTCGTCCAGAGGGAATTGAGAATCTGCGTCGAAGCTGACGTCGCCAACTCCCGCAAGAGAGTTGGTCAGCTCTTTGGACAGGCTTGGCGGAGACTCACCTGTGACTGAGAAATACAAGTGCTGAGAACAACGTGCACGCCTGGCAAGAATCGGGTTAGAGTTTTTACTGATTCAAGCTAAATTGGGACAAGTATTTCTACATGTTTCCCTACCACAGAGATCCTATTTTAGAACTACTGCACAAGTGGATTGCAAAGTACCTTTAAAACCCAAAGACAAACGTTCAAGTCACTGGAAGGTTTACTTTGATGATAGTACACCAACTCTGCACAGACGTACGGTTTATTCTGCTATCGACTCTTATTTGGTGTTGTTTATTAGACTGGATGATAGAAGTGTATAAAACAAGAAACTTTGGCAATTTAGTAAAATGTGGAAGTGTCTAAAAGAAGTTGTTCCCTCGTATGGTCTCTAGAGAATTCTGCTGTTAGTTTCGGCTCAGTTGCCTTTAGACTTCTTTACCTCAGCCCAGATAGAGCGTATATTGACTGAAATCTCAGTCATGTGCAACACACCAGAACAGGGGGCCTCGTTTATTGCTCATCACCAATGTTTTGACGGATGCTTGGCATTTATGCAAAGAACCTTTAATGTATCAAAGGGCAAACACACACATGCTGTGGCTACCTGTTAGGATGATGTTGGGGATGTTGCCGTGGCTGCTGTAGCCGAGCTGCTGAGAGTCGGGTAGGCTGCTCCCAGTGAGCCCCATCATGGCTGCCTGCGTGTAGTTGAGGGTGGAGCACTGGTTGTAAAGGCTGGTGGAGCTGATGGGGTTTTCGATCATGTTGAACTGCTCGAGCTAAAAAGCACAATTGTACGCGTTACACACATTGAAGTCAGAGAGAATCTAAAGAAAACCTTTTACTTAACGTTACGTGTCACCTGATGAGAGAGAGCGTTGGTCTGCCTCGATGCCAGCTGTTGATCATAAAAGGAGTCGCCGAATATGCTGCCCACCACGGGGATGTGCTGGAGGAACACAAACAACCCCCAAAAATATATATGAGAAATACACCATTGCAGTGGCTACAATAATAACACAAATCTTTACAGAGAGAGAAAATATCTGAGTTCACAAGCAGACACTTTCAGCGATGGAGTAACAAAAAACACAAGCAGCACACAAAGTCACAGCTGTCAGAGTGAGCAGCGAGCAAAGCAAATGGACCTCGTGACCACGACTGTCATGGTTAAACACAAAAAGAGGAGCCTAACAGAAGATGCAATAGCGCCACTCTTTAATGATTAGTTTATTATTAAAATTGAAAGCACACTTTACAGTTTTATTATAAATGACAAACAACCAGGGTGCTTCAGTTTGTCCCATCCTCGTAGATAGGACCACGACAGCCCAGATCAAGACAAAAACTAATTCAGATGGGTTGTTGTCATCATATTACCGTGGCAACACTCAACTCACCACCACTGTAGGGACTCCAGTGCAAAAAAGGTAAAGTTATTTATTTTTTTAAAATAATATTTATTATATTCTGGTATATTTGGAAAGTTGTCTGGGCTCATTGAGTATACATACCTACCTAGGATTTACCTTACAGCAGAAAGTGCCTTGAGGCGTTTGTTGGTGTAATTTGGCACTATATATAAATAAAGCCGAACTGAATACAGATATGTAGTTAGCAGGGGTAGTGAATAAAATGCTATTGATACTACAAGTGGCATCCATGAATTACTGTCTCCACATAGTAAGTGAGCTGTTGAGAATATGCTGAACTGTTAGTAGCAATGCCGTTTTTGCCTCATTTAGCTACTGTTAGCCTCTGTTACCTGATGTTAGCCTCTGTTAGCCCCTGTGAGCTTTACATCTAGTCTTTGTCTTTATATAAAGTCCAAAACAGAGGCAAACAACATAAGATCCCCTTCCACGGTTTCAAATAATAAGAAAAAACAATAGAGATGAAACAAGGATGCATGTTCTGGAAACTAACTGTAATTAAACTGCCTTTTTAAAAAAAACTACATTTACACTGTGTTACAGTGTAAATGTCCAAATCACTGGGATGGAACGGCTAGGCCAGGGGTAGGCAACTCCAGGCCTCGAGTGCCGGTGTCCTGCAGGTTTTAGATCTCACCCTGGGTTAACACACCTGAATCAAATGATTAGTTCATTACCAGGCCTCTGGAGAACTTCAAGACATGTTGAGGAGGTCGTTTAGCAATTTGGATCAGCTGTGTTGGATCAAGGATACATCTAAAACCGGCACTCGAGGCCTGGAGTTGCCTACCCCTGGGCTAGGCCAACAAGGTTATCTCCCTAGCATAAAGTTTGCATGATGATGACCTGACTAAGTGACAACAAAGCAGATATTTTTTCCTGCACGTACGTATCTTGCCACCTACATGCTCCAGCCTGGCATGTCCCCCACCCATGAAAAAACAAACAAACCAAGACTTTCCTCAGAATATATCTGACACAGAGAATATAGTTTGGGTGAATTACATGTGAGAAACTGTAATGGTTGAGGATACAAGATGAATATTTTAAGGCTACAAAGTGTCAGAGCCTCCATAAATAGGCTATCAATATGTTGCCATGCACGCTGTGAACGATGGCAGTGCTGATGAAGAAATGAGCTATGCAGCTGTTGACAGCATGAGTGATTAAGTGTGGAGACAGTGAATGAAAAGCAGCCTAACTTTCTACAATTAGCTTTCCCCCAGAAGCAAAGCCCTTCCCCAAACAGCAGATAGCTCGGTGGGTGGGCCCTTACTTGAGGTGAGCCTCCAGGGGAGAAGCCTTGATTGGAGACTGGGGAGGTTGGAGACTGAGTGGCTGGTGAGCCAGTCTGATTGCGGTACTGTTGGAGGGAAGAGGGTTAGCTAGCACTAAGCTTCACGCCTGTCATACACAAGTCTAAAAACAATGACATGTGAGAAGGCATCAACTTAGGGTCTGCTCAAAACATATGAGGTAGGACTAAAAAGCTCAGGAAGCTAGTCCATGGAAATCAAAGACCTTAGCTGATTAAACTTTGATCTATTAAGAATTTAAAATCATATCTGAGTGCATCTCTGGATCACTTTCAGCAATGCTGCAATTTTTACATCGGTCTCTGGAAATGTTGTTCTGACCTTTTCATCAACTTCTATTTCAAGCTCAAATGTGTGGATGTTTTGTTTGTGGATGATTATCGGTGTTGAAGAGAACTAGGTACTAGGTAGGTTTCCACAAAATATATGTTTTCAGCTGTTTACACCTAAAGCCACATTTTCCAAGGAAAAATTCAAAAGTCGCCACTGTGGAATATGTGTGGGAGCACGCATGAAAATGTACATTTGCATGTGCAAATGTGGCATAAGCTAGAATAGACTATAGTGAAGTCTGGGATATTTGGGATCACTTCCTCCTGTTAAATTTGACTCCTTAAAAAATCAAGTTAAAGAAACACAAGTTTGATGCACTGTTCAGGCACAAAGCTCAAAGTCTGTGCTTTGAGCACTCAACAGTGAAAAACAAAACACCTAGTCTAGTGCAGTCCATCTAGTCCAACCATTTACAAATGAATGGGAGGCAGAAAAAGAGTTCCAGGTAAACCAACTAAATAAAATACCAGCTGGGCTTAAAGTGATCCAGGATGTTCTTGAAGAGACTGGGCAATGTTCAGTTAGGGTAAAGCCTAAACCTTCTGATTATACCTCAAACACTTGTGTTTTAAAGAACGGCCAAATGCATATTTCTTTTTTCATAAACCATCATTTACAAAGATGTTAACATCAAACAACTTTACAGTGACATCGTGTAGCAAAGAGAAATATGTGTTTATGCTTCTTAGCTAAGTTAATCTATATAATTAGAAATAAATTAGCATAGAAAGGATGTGCAGATATTTACTGCGATGTATTTAGGGTAGCATCATCAAAGTGGTAAAATGAACAGCAGCTTAAAAATAAGCAAAATTATCTCAATCATGTCATCAGATTTTTATCTAAGCTTCCACGTTCTTGTTAAACTGCATCTTACCGAGCTGATGCTCATGCTGCCAGTGGTCTGGCTGTCTGGTGAGGGACTGCTGGCAGTGGCAGACGCTGTACCAGCGGAGGCCAGAGTTGGCAAGGTAATGAGCTGGATGCCTTGTGGCAGGGCCTGCTGCTTCTGGAGGTCACTGATCAGCTGAGCCTGAGCCTGAGCTGTCAGCTGGTTGAACAGAGGGTACTGAGAAAGCTGCTGTTCCAGGGTCAATGACTCTGTTGGCATGACCTGCAGAACGATGGGGATAAATTAGTCCAAGTAGCAGTGATTTCTGCTGCATGAACTGGAGGGTAGGGGTGTGGTGTTTAAATGTTTTATCTTATCTTTAACCACCTAGTATGTGTTGAATACTCATTAGTATACAGCTTGACGTTTCAAAAGCACTACAATTTATGGATGTGTACTAAAAGCATAAGGACAAAGACACAGATATCATTAAGAGCCTGGTCTCAGCATCCAACAGTACTATTTACACATACGAACACATTACTGCAGATGATTTCAGTCACTTAGGGCCTAGCGACCCCCCAGGCAACCTCTAGCTGATAAGGAAACGTATGTATTCTCGAACCAGTTGAAAGTACCAGGTGAAATTATCTGCAAAGATAATTTGCAAAGATAATTTGTTGTTGGTGCAGTGCTGCACCAACAACCTCCTTGCGATTGCTTTGGTCTTCGGCACATGCCTGCAATTTGCCGACTTGACTGCAAAGACTCAACTGGAACTGTGAAAAGTCTCCTTCAAAGTAAAAGTTTGCTAAAATCAACATAGCCATGTAGTGTTTCTTTAACTTAACCAGACTGCAAATGAATACTGGAAAAAAAAAAGAAAGATCAACTAAGCTGATAAATATGTAAATGTGTCACGCTCATCCACCACGGCCTCCCTACAATACCGACTCTGTTGCTCTCTCATGCCTGACTTTGTAAAGCCACACTCTTCCTTTCTACTGATGACTATCTGGACATAAACAAATACTGAACCAATGAGAGTTTGACCATAATGTAGCATATCCTAAAATGCAGTATTTTATTCTGTAATTTATTCTGTGCACAAAACCTACAAAATATAATTAATCATTAATGGAAAAAGACTTGAAACGGCACCATAGACTAATGTGAAAAATCCTTAAGGGTCAATATAATGTGACCTCTTTTTGCAGTAAGTGATGACACTTATTTGTTTCAAATTCAATACATCGGGATGCAAGTGCAATAACTATTTTTAAATTTCTGACTTCATCCATTTTTGGTCCAAATACCTTGGATGTAACTAATTTTAATTAATCCTTACCTGTGTAATGCTAACTGGTGAGGAAAGGGTGGGTGAGAGCTGCTGAGGAGATTGTTGGAGATGGAGGTCAGAGGTTAGGGTAAGCGGCACCACCGGTGGCTGCCGGCGCTGTGCAGTCACGGTCATGGTGGGCTGAGAGGAAGTGGGGATCCCTGGGAAGTCAAAAAAAACATGAAGAAAAGAAACTATGGATGTACACGTACCTGTTTTTTGTCTCCAACTTAGCTTTAATGCACCAACTGGTGTAAATAAGAAACATCAGAAAAAGTAAAACAGCAAAAACCACCAACTTTAAATGCCTGCACGGTAGGGACTGATACTGAGTGCAGAAGAGTGAGTCTAAGTCAAAGTAAAAGTCTGTAAAAGTGCATAAATGTGATAAAGCACAAGCCCCTACATTTGGTATTTTACACATTAGGTGTTACAACATAAGAGACAGTTACAAACTGATGCTGAACCAGATCCTGTTGGCCACACTGCGTGCCGCCTGCAGAGCTAGACTCAACACTTGTGGAGCATCAAATGAAATCCTGCTGTTTTGTTGTCATTTGTATGAAAACTACCGGCATGTTTTCATGTTTTCTTTCAGCTGCATTAGTGTTTAGTGGTTCTCCTTTGTAAACAAACACATTCCACTTAAAGCTACATTTCTGTGCTACAACACTGGTCGGTACAATCCCTCTGCTTTGTTAATTTTACCCGTTTTACCCCTTTAATGAACACAAAATGTTGATTATTACCGTGGCTGGCGGCGCTTATACCCAGGTGGGTGAGGTTGGTGGTGAGGCTGCCTGTGCTGTTGGCTGCGCTGAGGGAGGGGAAGGCCACGGTGTCCTCGGGGTCCAGCGGGGTAGAAAGCGGTGGGGGGAACTGAATGTTAGTCAGATCGGGCAGCGAACCGCCGGTGTTATGTGCGGCTGGGAGCACGGATGGGTTCAACTCCTGGTCTGGCGAGGGGAATATGCTGAAAAGAGGACATTTTCTATCAGACATAAGAACAGCTTGTGCGAAACAAGACTGTGACCAAGCATATCAGCATTTTTAATAAAAGGCAACAACAGCTAGGTGACAGTGGGTAGCATGTTTGCTTTAAATGCTATTTTAAATACTTCTTATAACCCACCTACAGTGGGTGGGTGCCACAGTATGACAGTCGATTTTCATTTTTCTGTATAATTTGAATTATATTACTCAGATTGTGCTTCTTATGCAATTTTTCTGTTTTTAAATATATATTTTTATGTATTGTTCTTGTTAATATTATTATTATTATTATTATTCATTTTTGTATTTTTAGTTGTCCTTAGCATAAAGCGCTCTACAAACAAGCTTGGCTAAACTGAAGCCTGTTGTGCTTTCACTCAGTGATGCCCACAGATAAATAATTCCCAGCCGTGCTAGAATTTTCCATCAGCTGACAATCCTTTCTCAGTGTGTATTCTGTGTCTCGTAAGTTCACTTTCTTAGAAAATGTTTTTAGTTTCTAGCAAGGAGAAATCATTGCAAGACCTGTTTCATGCTTTGCTTTGGTCAGTTTGAACCAAATGCAGCAAACACAAGCAGACTTCATTTAGAGAGAAGCAGGAACGATAATCTATTACTAATAATAGGAAATCTAAAAAAGGCTCTTTTGGCTGATTCTTTGGTCACAAAGGAAGCTCATCTGGCAGATTTTGATGCCAGATATTGTTTCTGGTGCAACCACCAAGGGATTTGTGTCTCCTGGGAACGAGTATGTGTAAGCCACTCCTGTTACATCACAACATAATGATCTTGTAATAACGTTTCTTCTAGATTAATTACCTAATGGGTATTGTGTCCCACCGAAAAGTTGCTTTTAGCAATTTTTCCAGTTTTTTTCTAGCACATAATTGTAAACTTGTAATATGGAGGCTTAACACGAGTTACACAGAAGTGCACAGCAGGAGTGACAGGGTTTCATAATAGTTTGCTTCATTTTTGACTAACCAAATAAGCGTGCATTTAACCTTTAAACGTGGATATTATTTGAATTTAGAAGCAAAAAAGATGCAAATTCTTTTGTGACGTCTCTGAGAACTGACAGCACATTTCGTGTTTCTTTTTATGTACAGCTGTCAAAACATAATTTGTGATTTTAAAATATCTTGATGCATGCTCAATCATCCAGGTAAGTAAATCCCAAGAAGTTTCAGAAGATTCTGTTCATCTGGACGTAGCGTTTTCAGTGGGAGAAACATTTTAATGACCGTGAAACTGACATCACAGCTGCAATGGGCTAGTTTCAGTCATTGTGCAAAGGTAATGTTTATAAGGTTGAGGAAACCTGCAGGCAGCGGAGACTGAAGAAGTCACTTGGATGACTGACGAAATCTTTCTCCCACTGAGAACACTACGTCCAGATGAACAGAATCAACTTTCTGGGAACCACTTTTAACACTCAAAGAAGAGCTTCTTAGAAAGTCCTTGAAGAAGCTTCAAGGACTATTCCTGAAGACCACTTAAAGAAATGATAAGAAAGCTTCCGTATTAGAGCTCAGGCTGTGTTTAAGAATAAACGTGTTCATACAAAAAACTCAATGTTGATTGTTTTTGCTCTACCTAATCACACGAGCCAAGGTGTGAAAACAGGTGTCGGTCACTATCAGCCAAGGTTTTGGGTGACCTCATTGTGAAACTCCACCCTATCATGTGATTTCCGGAGGTCAGAAGGCCCAGGATGCGAGTGGGCATTAAGGCATCTGGGAAGGATCTCAAAACTGGTTTATAGATGGCAGATAGTTGGTGTCGTAAGCCACCACCTCTATTCAAAGATGCTCATTCACAGTGGACATAAATGGCTTCTTTTACTCGTCTTTCAAACCATCAAACCATGTGTACATTGGCATCCTCAAAGGAGTGACCTTTGTCCTTTAGATGCAGATGGACCGCCAGTTGGCTCTTCTATTTTATGCCATATGTTATATTATGCTATTTTTTCATTCCTGTCTCTTATGTATACATTTGCATATCTAAAGATACATCAACATATGCCTGCAACCCCCCCCCCCAAAAAAGAAACAAAAAACAAAAACACATCCAAGCTTCACCAGTACATTTAATCACATAAACCCCCCCAGTTGCTTAAATAAACCATCCACCTATTAACAGTTTGCTTAAATGCTGTGCTGAAAAACAAACAAAAAGATAGATTTAGATTGGTAGCTACCTATATAAATATAGATATCTATAGACATAGATATAGATATATAGTTATATAGATAGATATAAAAATCACATATACATTACATCATGTTGTTGATACTGGCAAGAAAAGATGGTCAACCAGTTTTACAAGCTGTGTCTCTGTTCAGCATCTGATGTCATCGTATCGACATTGTGCAGGTATAAAAGCTGCAGACCGTCAGAGATTAAACAACAAACAGCTGGAGTTGGTGAGCATCGGCACGACTGAAGACAACTCAGAACGATTAAACTGTAAGTTTTCAAATCTAGAATATCTGACTGAACGTTAGAGTCAGGGAAAGATTTACTGAAGACTTTACTTTGTTACAATATGGAAAATAAAATATGACAAATTAGTTCATGACCATCTTTTCTGTCAAGCCAATGTGGTTTGTCCTGAAAAAAAAATAAAAAATTGTGTTTTGCTTTAAAGCAAAACTATGGAAGTGATTTTTTTTTATTTAAAAGTTACATTATTATAGAAAGAGCTGTATAATGATTGCAGTAATTTAAAAAAACAAACGTTTATGCTGTTCTAAATTAAAGATGATGTTATTGCATTATGAATTAGAAACATATAGAAAAAAGACACTTCTGTCATTTAGAAAATTACACTAATAAGACAATAACTGAATGTATTTGGATTAGATTTTTATCAAGTGAGTTTTTATTGTATTTATTTCACTTTTCATACTTGATTTACTTTATTGAGCTATTGTTATATTATACTTTATTTATTTAAACAATGTCATTATAGATTATATTTAATGCTATTTCCAAATTCTTGGGAAACACAAATGTGAATTTAAAATTAAACAATAATCAATCATTTTATTTTTGAAGGTTCAAGGACTTTTCCACAATGATTCTCAAGATCTGTTTCATTCTGTTTCTGCTTGTCGGTAAGTGTTAGCAAATAACAACAAATTATATTATAAGCAGTCGAAGAATTTGTAGCAATGAGTCTGAAGTTAATCCATCAATTTCAATGTCAGCCATTTCACAGATACCAGAAGTGAATGCACAAAATGCAACCACCCCAACGCAAAGTTCAGCTACCAAAATCCAAAGCACAACAAACAGCACCGCAGTCATTAACAAAATCAGCCTGACTTCTGTCACAATGGCCGTCGTAGCTGCTGTGCTTCCATAACATAGTTACAGTTGTAACTATGTTGTTACAACTAGCTTTTTTAACCATGCATTTGTCTGTGTATTTTTCATATCCTATCAAAGTGGGGAAGTTTCAATAAGGGGAGGGATGATAAATAAAAGGGGATCTAAACTGTCTTTTGAACACATGTAAATGATCCATTTTACTCTATGCTTTCACAAGATTGTGACTTTCTTTGTGGCAAAGGTCAACAAATAAAATGTTTACCAATCAGAGGAAATTGATTCAATCACACATATTAAGATTTATTGTGATGGCCATCTATTGTGAAAATAACTGTACCTAACCTGATTTATGGGAGAATATGTTAACTTCCTAACCAATAAATGACAATAATCACTTAAGTTTTGCTCTATTTTGTGAAATTCTGTCTGTTAACCAGCCTTTTTATTTATTCAGCATCTTTGCACTCCGACCTGCTTTTGCTGTTATTTTGACAGATCATCTAAATGAACTTTGAACTGGGACATGGGAAAGTACATGGGCTTTCTCACCAGAGAAATCAGATAATAAAATGGTTAGAAATTGCTGACTTTGCCCCCATTTCTTTTTGTGGTCCATCCATGTTTGGTCTTGCAAAATTCTCCCATTTATTTCCAATTCTTTCAGTGCCATTTTTCTAATATCCAACGTTAACACGAAAAAGGAGTTTTGCTTTAAATGTCATTATGAAGCATTTTATGTTTGTACTTTATAGTGCTCGTAGAAAAATAGCACCTGATTGCCTATCACTACAGGACTTTCCCCCAGCCATACCTGATCTGATTTACTGGGGGGGAGGAAGCGCACCAGCAAAATAATCCTGAAAGGCGATACTAGCAACATCTATGATTTTCCTCACAGATGCTGGAGGATTTCCTCAGTTACCTGACACATGGGGAATGCACAAAAAACTTCAGTCAACCATCCAAATGAAAACGAAAAAAGCAGTTGTAGAAAAAAAAAAGAAAAGAGAGTAGCAGATTAATACTGAACTGTTGTTTACTTAGTCCAGAGTGCTACAAAACACACCAGTAATAAAACATGGCTACTTATTAAGATTGAGATTTAAAGGATTATATCTGGTTGATGGTTATTCTTCCAACTAAAGGAAAAAAACATGTGCCAAAGTTTTCTTGTCAATTCTTAGGTCACAGAAATTCAAACTCCAAAGAAATCACTAGGAGCACAAATCATTTGCAACTCTTTCACCCAGTGAGAGCCAACAACTTCCAGGAACGACCGCCAACCAATTGGGGAACGCACATTTCTCCCTAGCAACCTAGCTGTATCACGTCCAATATGGCAGACAACTAATGTCCACATATTGCTTCATGCACAATACTCGAGTGGCATTGCTCTTTGAAGAATAATAAAACAAACAACGTAAACCACTCACTTGATTCCTGGGACATCACACGTGTTGGGCTTTGATGAATCATCCTGAGAAGAAAATGCAATCATGAGACACAAGTCTTGCGTCACTGGTGTACACTCTGCAGCCCTTCCCTGTCCCATTGGTACCTTCTCGTCATCCCACAACTGTTTCTGCACATCGTTGTCTGCACTTGTCTCCGAGTTCTCCGTTCCAGGCACTGTTAGCAGCAGTACTAATTAGTGAAACAGCAAGACACAGTTGCTTGCCATGACAAAAATACATAACAAACCAAAAAAAATGAGTCATCAATATCGGAGCCAGTCATGCAGAATATAGTGCTGCGCACCAGATTCTAGAGTGTAAAAATAGAAGGTGACCATCAGACAGACTGAAAGGATGCCAGCTAATCTTGGCTTCGCTTTATCAGAGCTTCACACATAAAAAGACATAATCAATGCATAATCAGTTAATTATTGATTTTCCTCTCTAGATCCTCCTGAATCAGCCTCATTCAGAGATGCTACTCCTCCACATCCAGCCGAGGGCTGAACCAGAATGCAGAAACTTTGCTAGAGATCCATTTACTTTATAAATATTTCACCAAGAACTACTACTGTGTGACACCAGCCCCTTTATGTCTTTTGAGGTTTCCTGTCTGCATTAGTACATTCTACATTAATAAATAAAAGCAGCTCTGTGTCTTTGTAACGGGATCTTCCTCTACCTCGTTTAGGCTGCAGCTCCTGTGATCCCCCGGCAAAGACCTCCTGGGGCTTTGGATTCATGGCGCTCTGGTGTAAGGCAGAGTCTGAATTTGTCCTGTACGTGAGAGACAGATGAAATTCAAGCAAAACCAATGCCAGCTCATGAATAATGGCAGAATTCAAGCTCTGCAGCATCAAATCTATCAGAAATCTGTTCTAGACCTTCTGGTTTACTTTAGAAGTTGTGCATCAACCAGGCTACACAGAGTCATGTCATTTAATCTTTGGAAGAGCGCTGTATCTGGCTGTGTGTCCTAGTTCTTATTTTGGCAAATGGACAAAAGGAGGTGCCTTACCTTCTCCAGCTAGTGTCTGGCGGTGGGGAGAGGTAAACTGAGCTGTAAGGACAGCTGTCAATGTGAATTTAGTCAAGGGAAATAAATTTGTTTTCTTACCCTAATCAGCCCAAAAGACCTGCTAAATAATAAATAACCACACACAAGCTTTACTTTGATACATTTACTTTGATATCTTGTTATCTAATAGACGAATATATTGATGGTCTTGTCAACTGTCTACAACGCATCGTGTTACATAGTTCAATATCAGGCTGTCAGTAAATGCAGCATAACAAACACTCACTCTCTTAAAATCCACTCAGCACCATTACTGACAGATGATATCTTAACACATCTCATATGATGAATAGTAATTGCGTTTCCTTAAACAGCAATCATTGTTAACCAGTCTGGTAGCAATCTCTGGTCCATATGACAATATAAAAACACGGATGACTAAATAACCTTAACCCCTACTTAACCACTTTCCAGGCAAACTACAGGCAACCACTGCTCCTGGAGGTTTCTGGTGTGGGGCCCTCTTTCCCATCCATTTTATCTGGTCATTGCAACCTCCAGGAACCAACGCCCAACTAGTTGGGAAATACACATCTTTCCCTAGCAACAAAGAAGTTGCTAGGGGATCTCAAAACAGTCTCTAGGCCTGTGCAACTGAGGCCTTACTTACATTCAAAACTATTCATCCCACAAAGTTTAGCCCCTATCTCAAGGCTGCATATTGGCATTTTAAGAGGACAAGTAAGAGGACATTTCCCAACATCAGTGGCTGACGTCTATCTGTTTTGTTTTTGTTTATCATCAATGGCACTGGCTAAATGTTTAGGAATAACATGACGACAAGCTAAAAGACTTTAAAATAGTCCTGATAGTGTCAGCAATGAAAACTGTCATTAGAACAAAAGGCTATTGTTTCAGAATTTCAGTCATTCATTATTCTAACTATCTATATCTATATATATATATATATATCTATA